AGTCTGATTCCCTCGGCTCCTTTCTAAAGCTTCTCTTTCCTTTCCCAGTCTTTATTTGGAGGAAGTAGAAGAGCTGTGTGGGCAAAGGAAGACGACGTCTCAGTACTTCTTTATAGAAGAGAGAATTTCAGGACGCATAGCTCTTTCTCTCTCTCCTGCCTGACTAGCTGATGCTGCCGTCACAGTCACAGAAAACGGATGGGTGGAGTGACCGCATCCTGCGGACACATGCAGGAGGAGGGTCCTAGGCTCTTGGGTAAGCAAGTGCAGGGAATGACTTTACACTGCCTGAGACCCTGGAGTGCTACTGAATAGTCAGTTCTGAACCAAATGGGCCAATGATGTGGTTCGGTGGAGGAGGGACAGAAAGGGCAAAAAAACTGAACCTTAAAATTCAGAACCTAACAAAGGTTAGTAAAATGTGAAAAAGAGGGCCAATATTAAAAACTAAATGTAGAAAATATATAGAAAAAGATGCATGTATTTATTAATTACAAATTTAAAAACATGTATAAGGGCCCATTCAGATCAAATATATAAGTAACATACACACGGGCTTAAAAACCTGACCTGACGCATTTCGGCCTGCGTAGGCCTTCCTCAGAGGTCAAACAATTGAGTGGCAAGATGGCTATATAAATATAATACACTCATGTAGACACAATCAGAATAGATACACAATATAAATTCAATACGGACCAGAAAACCAGTTGTTCCAGAATAAAACCACCAGGCACGCAATAAATGTGCAAATGAGATCTTTAAAAGTACAATTACTTGCCCAGTGGTTCTAAAGTATAGACTAGAATTGCCTTCTCTGATTGTGTTGCCACAGTGTTCTCAAGTAAAAAGCAGCATGAATAGTCAATTCTGAACCAAATGGACCAATGATGGGGTTCAGTGGAGGGCCACTTCGTATGCTAGCCAGAGGTCCAAAGACCATTAAGATACTGCACTCCTCCATTCCCCCAGAAGAACACAGTGGCGAGTGGAAGACCGGTCTTGCCCCCAGCCATTTGCCAAAGGACGAACACCTGTAGAGAGCTTGCCATCCACCACCCTGGCTGAAAGAACTCTGCTGGAATTGCCAGTTTCCATATGAATCCAGGAGCTAAAGGAAGATCAGCCTCATTCTAGACAGAAGCAGGGGTCATTTCCTGCAGGAGCGCACAGGAGCGGGGCTCCGGCAGTAAAGAGCTCAGGGGGCGGGCACAAGCAACAAGCCCCACCCCCTGCTCCCAGCAGCCCTCAGTCAAAGCAAGAAGCAGCCAGGTAAGTTGCAGAGCCCCACCCCAAAACAGTCCAGTGGCACCTTTAAGACCAAGTTTTATTCAGGCACAAGCTCTCCCTCCTCTGTGAGGACAGATCTGCACATCCCCCCCCTCAATAGCTAGCAATCCAAAACAGTCCAGTAGAGCCTGAGCAGTGGGTGTTGCCTTCTGACACACTTCCAGTGATGTCAGGGGGTGTGGCATATGCAAATAAGCTATGCTAATAAGTTATGCTAATGAGCTCCTGCACCTCTTTTTCTACTAAATGACCCCTGGACAGAAGCAAATGACCACATGAAGGTGCCTTATACTGAATCAGCCTATCAAAGTCAGTACTGTCTACTCAGACGGGTAATGGTTCGCCAGGGTCCCAGGCAGAGGTCCTTCGTATCACCTGCTGCCTGGTCCTTTTAACCAGAGATACTGAGACCGATTCCCCACAAGAAGCTGTGCCGGCCTTGCTCTTCTGTTTCCCCCACTTGCATTTTGACCCACAGCTCCCCCCCGATTCCCCCCGCGTCTTCTCAGTCCTTGTTTTTTCAGATGGAGAAGATGCGGGGAAAATCGGGGTGTGGGGGGGAGCTGCAGGTCAAACTGCGGCCGCGCAGCGGATAGTGTGAAATTGACCGATGCAAGCAGGGGAAACAGAAGAGCGAGGGGGGCACAGTTGCTTGCGGGGAACCGGTCTGAGGATTGAACTTGGGACCTTCTTCAGGCCGAGCAAATACTCTTCCACTGAGCCATGACCCTTCCGAATGCCCATTAACAACTCCCCGGCTCTTTCTGGCACCATCAACCTCACCTTCCTCTGTTCCTTTCGCCCCTGCCTGTCTCACCTTTTTCACCTGCAGGCAAAGCCTCTGCCTTGTTCTCGTTTATGTACAGTGCCTGCCAGTGAACATAAGAACATAAGAACATAAGAGATGCCAATGTTGGATCAGGCCAAAGGCCCATCCAGTCCAACACTCTGTATCACACAGTGGCCAGAAATACCAGTGCCATCAGGAGGTCCACCAGTGGTATTCTATTTGACTCTGAAGGACACGCACGCACTGAAAAGAAATATCACAGCCCTGTCACACTTTTAATCTGGAAACTATCCTGCCAATAAGCCGCTCCTTGGGCCATAAATCTGGCTCGTTTCTAGGACCCAGTTGGGTGTAGTGGTTAAGTGTGGGGGCTCTAATCTGGGAGAACAGGGTTTGATTCCCCACTCCTCCACCTGAACCTGGCTGGATGCCCTTGGGCAAGCCATAGTTCTGTCAGAGCTGTTCTTGAAAAAGAGCAGTTCCTCTCAGAGCTCTCCCAGCCCCACCTACCTCACAGGGTGTCCATTGTGGGGAGGGGAAGGGAAAGGAGATTGTAAGCCGCTCTGAGACTCCTTCAGGTAGTGAAGGGCGGGATATAAATCCAATCTTCTAGGATGGCTGTCCCTGGTTGTACCACCATCCTCTCCCTCTTCTGTCCCGGGCCTTGGCTTGAATTCAGAGCACTGAGATCCTCACACGAAACTGCCTTACACTGGCTCAGACCATTGGTCCTTCAAGGTCAGTATTGTCTACTCAAAACTGGCAGTGGCTCTCCAGGGTCTCACACCACCTACTACTTGATCCTTTTAACTGGAGATGCTGGGAACCAGGTCCATAGCTACGGTGGGACTTGGGGGGGCTCTGCCCCCTTTCTTAAAGGCACAGCCCCACAACAAATAGATAGGAACTCTCAGGCTGGGGCAAGTGATGCTCTGTATTCTTGATGCTTGGGGTGGGGGGGCAACAGTGGGAGGGCTTCTAGTGTCCTGGCCCCACTGCTGGACCTCCTGATGGCACCTGGTATTTTTGGCCATTGTGTGACACAGAGTGCTGGACTGGATGGGCCATTGGCCTAATCTGGCTTCTCTTATGTTCTTATGTTCCTGTAAATGCTTTTTTCCAATCATGTTTAAATGTTTTTTTAAAGGTGTGTGCTTCTTTAAGCAGAGCGAGGTGCTGTAGTTGACTGATTCTTGCGCTGAGCAAGGGGGTTGGAGTAGGTGACCTCTAGGATCCCTTCTAACTCTGTGTCAAGATACTGGTCTCCTTGAAGAGAGTTTTTCTGCCCAAGTCTTAGCTTTCTGGACTGTAGAAGTCATCACCCCCACCCGCCGGCTTGTTCTCAGAATTGTTGCTTAGGCTGGCAGAAGTGATTAACTTGCAGCAGCAGAGAACCATCATCTGAAGTGGCTGACAGCTTGCAGTTTAGAGATCTATCCCGGTAACAGCTTTCTATTGGCTAAATGGCTTTTCTTCCTGCATTGAGAACTTCAGCCCCACCAGAAAAACAAAATTGTCCCACAAGCCACAAAATCCTGGCTACGGGCCTGCCGGGGACTGAACCTGGGACTTTCTGTATGCTGAGCAGACGCTCTGCTGCTGAGCCACGGCCTTGCTTAACAACCCGCATGACCTTCACCCTGCAACTTCAGGCTCAATTCGCAGTTCTTATGCCCATCGATGCACAGCACCCAGTGCCTACTCGGTGATGAAGCCGCAGCTCACAGATGGTTTCTTATGGGTGTATTTATAGCCTGCTACTCTTTTATTTGTAGCCAGTCTTTTGGCCCAAGCTGGTTCTCATAAAACAAAAATGACAATGAGACTGATTAAAATCCAGCAATCCGTCCATAAAAGCCATGATAGCAACACCCAATCGAAATGGAGCACTCGGCATCCCTCAAAAGAACCCCCCCCCCAAAGTCTCCTAAAAAGGACAGCTTGACCGATAGGGAGGGAACACTCTGTATTCCCAGCAGAAACCTATTCCAGAACTTGGGCGCAATCACAGAGAAAGCTCTGGAACATACCAGCATTGATACTAATCAATGACACTGCCAGGAAAAATTGCCACAAGGAATAGAAATGACACATGGGTACATATTGGGAGAGCCATTCCTTTTCAACTGGTCTTCAAAGAACCTTACAGCATCGGGTTGGATCCAGACTACATTGGCAATTTCCACTTCCATGATCGAGGTTTATAAGATTATGCATGGGACAGAGCAGGTAGAGAAAGAAGTACTTTTCTCCCTTTCTCACCGTACAAGAACTCGTGGGCACTCAATTAAATTGCTGAGCAGTCGGGTTAGAACAGACAAAAGGAAGTCCTTCTTCCCCCAAAGGGTGATTAACACATGGAATTCACTGCCACAGGAGGTGGCGGCGGCTACAAGCATGGACAGCTTCAAGAGGGAATTGGATAAGCATATGGAGAAGAAGACCATCAGTGGCTATTAGCCACAAGGTATAGATAGGAACTCTCAGGCTGGGACAAGGGATGCTCTGTCTTCTTGGTGCTTGGGGGGGGGCAACAGTGAGAGGATTTCTAGTGTCCTGGCCCCACTGGTGGACCTCCTGATGGCACCTGGTATTTTTGGCCACTGTGTGGCAGAGTGTTGGACTAGATGGGCCATTGGCCTGGTCCAGCATTGGCTTCTCTTATGTTCCATTGATTCCCCCCCCCCGCCGCAGACCCCTGCCCCCCTGGCGCTCCTCAGAGTTGCCTGTCCTCCAGGAGCGACGCATTGTGGAGATCAGTGATCTTCTGCGGGAGGCTGGGATGCTCCATTCTGACCCTGTAAAATTTAACCTGGAGTCCCAACCCGTTTTCTCGCCCTCCAGCCTCCGCCAGTACCAAATGTATTAGCTTCCGTTGATGGATGAGGAATGGCAGCAGGGTGGGTGGGAACCGTCTTACCTTGAACGAAGCGTGCTGCTCCATGTGACGCTGGAGCTGGGGCTTTTGGGCAGCGGTGTAATCACAAACCGTGCACTTGAACTGTTTCCCTGAAACAGAAAACCAGGTGAATTCAGATGCAAATGGTCGCTGGACGGAGAAGAACGGTGGGGTAAGAGGGAACGGGCTGTCGATGGGCGCTTTCCGTCCTGTGTCTGCAGCCAATTGGCTGGGGTAGCAGCTCCTAAATCCCTTTAATTTGTTGACTGTTAAAGTGATGAATTGCAGATTGAGCAGCACGGAAAGAAAGTCGCCACCCCTGGCAAGATCGAGAAAACCTTATCTCTTTTTTTAGGACACGGTTTCAAAGTTTACAGTGTTTCTTTGGACTTAAAAAAAATTAGAAGTGGAACAGAGTAACTGAAAACACCGTGGTATTATATTTACTGGGTCTTTATATGAGGGTACACATCAGCACCAGAATTAGCCTTGAGAACCAGTTTGGTGTCGTGGTTAGGAGCGCGGACTGGGAGAACCGGGTTTGATTTCCCCACTCCTCCACGTGCAACTGCTGGTGTGACCCTGGGTCAGTCACAAGTTTTCTCAGAGCTGTTCTCTCTCAGAAGCAGTCCTCGAAACAGCTCTCTCAGCCCCACCGACCTCACGGGGTGTCTGTTGTGGGGAGGGGAAGGGAAAAGGAGTTTGTAAGCCGCTCTGAGACTCCTTCGGGTAGTGAAGGGGGGGGTATAAATCCAATCTCTTCTTCTTATAAGAAGGGGCCATCTTCTGGATACGAAAAATTCTGTTCATGGCAGAGATGGATAAAATTACGAAGAAACTGAATAACAAGGAAGCCCTTGACTTTTTTGAAGAATGGAAGGACTTTAAACTTTACCTAGAAAAAAACTGGGATGTGAAGCACAATTTACTATGTTTAGAACAATATTGAGATTAATTGATGTTATCTTAAGATGTACTGGAGGGTCAAAGGGGGAAACATTGCGGGAAGCCACCAGAAGGGAGGGGGGATATGGGAATATAGGTATTGGTTTAAGAATGATAACAGTTTTTTAATTGTAAGAGGTTATTTCCATGAAAATAAAAATTCTTTTACCAAAAAAAAAAAGGGGGGCCATCTTCTTAGTGTTGTGTACTCTGACTGTCAGTGACTCATCAGGATCCGACACAGAGGAAGGTCTTTCTCGAAAACCATTCCCCTGGGATCATTATCCGGAGACACCCGGGACTGGATACGGGACCTTCAGCACATAAGGCTGGTGATCTACCACTGATCCATAGCCTCTGACTGCCTAAATGTCTTAAAGAGCCTCCCAAAGAGACTTTAATAGGCCTCATCAATTAGAGCTGCCAACCCCCACTTGGAAAGGAATTGATGGGGGGGGGGGAAGGCTGACAGGGAAAACCCAGAACTGACATCAGACCTCTCTAGAAATAACCAAAAAACTCTATGACCTTATCAAAAAGTTTCTGGGAATTCCTAGAGAGGTGTGTTGTCACTTCCAGACTTTTCCCGGAAGTGAAACCACTCTGTTGCTGATTCCTCTCCCATGTCTCCCCCCCCCCCGGGGGCCCTGCTGGGTTC